TATTCCAAAGTTCCTTTTTGCCTATTATATATGTATGGTTTTAAACGTGTCTATTTGGTTGGACTTTAATCTAGGAAATTAGAGTTAGTGTTAGGGATTGATTCTGCCCGTTTGATAGTTTCAGCCCAGTTAATAATACGTGTCCACCAATTTTATAATAATGAATATGCTGACCATTATTCTTATTGACTCTTTCTAACGAATTACTTTTGAAGACAAATTTTATTATCTGATAATCAACACGAAATATTTTTTAGTAACAAAAAACAATCTAAATGTATGGGGATAATTGGCTGACAAAAGATTATGCTGGACAGCTGGGCGCAGCCATATTCTTGTGAGAAAAATAAACATACACCTATGATCCTAGCTAGGACCAACTCTCTGCAGCTTGATGGATTTATAATTTGAAATTTATGAGTTTTTATCAATTTGAAGTTAATATATATTATACTCCCTCCGGTTTATTTTAATTGATATTTTGGCTCTTTTCACATATATTAAGAAATTCACCTATTAGTATTAATTAATAATAAAAATTGACCATATTAATCTTAATGTGTTCATTGGAAATATAACAAATACTCTTAGGCTCTTTACTCCAAGAGTAACTTTGGAAAAAAAAGTTAATTCATTTTTTATATTTGAAAAAATCAGATATTGTGGATCACAAAAAAAATTTAAAAAATCAATTAAAGTGGAACAGAAGGAGTAATAAATAATTAGAGTGCAGTAATAAAGAAGCCTTCATGTAACTCTCGAATGGTAAAGTTATCTACTAGATATTATGCTTGAAGTAGCCATGACTGCAAATGGACAGTTCATTTAGTTTGTGCACTCAATTATAAATAAAATCTGTAACTTTTCACATTGATAAATATAGTCAATTTATTACAGAAACTTTTATGAAGTAACTTACGCTAGCTCTATGTAATGAGTAACTTGACCTAGCCATTATTATGAGCAACAAGTTCCTTTGTAACTAGAACTTTTCTTTTCTGGAAGTGCGACGATACATACATACATATATATATATNATTTAGATATGATTAATCAATTTAATAATTTGATTATGATCATTAGGAAACTCAAGATAATGTCCATTTTGTTAAAAAAAGTATCTCGATGGCATTTGTATAAGTTCAAAAGTTATTCACTCGTTACCAAGCTTAATATTACCTTTCTAAATGTTAGGTTGTTATTTTTAAATTTTAAATTGTAATTTGATTTCTGTGTATTCATAAGTTAACATAGTATATTACATGATATAACAAACATTAATTATAGGTAATAATAGTAATTATATTTCATGTTTTATTTAATATCAAAACTTAAAAAACTATCCGACCTTTTTTTAATTAAATTTACAAACCTTTTCAATATCCTTAGAAAGAAAAGGGAAAAACATTAGAAACTTGTTTTCCAACACTTCGCAAAGTCATGAAAAAAGTGGTTCAGCACTTGTAGTGCAAAAAACTTGTTTCCAAATTAAAAATTATTAGGAACTTGAATAAAGATAAAAGCAAAGATTACTTTGTTCTTCAAGTTGAAGATGTAGAGTTTGTAGTTCATATGCTTTATGGGTTTACTAACATGCATTTGTTTTCCAAATTAACCATTGGCAAGAGCGTCAATCTTGACTTTAAGAACAATGGTTAAAATGTTGGGAATTTAAAACACAAAGAAGGGAAGTTGAGAGAGTATTTTGAAGTCTTTCAAATTGCATAAGAAAAGTTACAGTAGAGGCCTTTTAAATAGGCTTACAACCAACTGACTTAAGCTAAAATAAGCAACTAATAAACAAAGTAGATAAAATGCTCCAACTACTTCTACTATTATCATCCAACTAAATGATCATGCAAATTAACTGAACAAGTACTAACTTTATAGATGCTAAAAACTAGGAACTAAATAAACTGTCACTTTAAAGCATTAACCAACACACCCCCTTGCTTCAAAGCTTGTCACTCCCATTTGTGATCTGAAATACTCATACTTGCCAACGGGAAGTGCTTTGGTTAGAATATCAGCAACTTGCTCATTTGTGCCGCAATGCTTTAGCATAATGCTTTCAGTTGCTACCAGATTTCGGATGAAGTGGTACCGAATGTCGATATGCTTTGTTCTGCTGTGAAATGCCGGATTCTTTGTCATCGCAATAGTTGCTTTATTGTCACAGAAAATTTCAGTTGTTGTAGCTTGCTCTTGAAATAGATCAGCATGTAACCTCTTTAGCCAAACTGCTTGACAAGCTGATGTAGTGGCAGCAACATATTCTGCTTCAAATGATGACAAGGCCACAATTTCTTGCTTCTTTGAGCTCCAAGATATAACACCTGAACCAAGAGAGAATGCATATCCAGAGGTACTTTTTCTATCATCCTGACAACCTGCCCAATCACTATCTGTGAAACCAAACAATTTAAAATCTGACACATTAGAGTACCAAATTCCAAAATCAGCAGTTCCGGCAACATATCGTAAAATTCGCTTTACTGCCCCAAAATGATGCTTTGTTGGGTTATGCATGAATCTGGAAATCACACTAACAGAAAATGCCATGTCAGGTCGTATGTGCGATAAATAATTTAGACCACCAACTATGCTTCTAAAGCATCGAGTATCCGTCAAACCCGCACCATCATCTGATATGAGCTTCTCATTCACATTCATAGGTGTAGAAGCTATCTTACAACCCAACATATTGAATCTCTTAAGAAGATCAGTTGCATATTTTCTTTGCGAGACAAAAATACCATCTAAACTTTGTTTAATCTCAAGACCAAGAAAATAGTGCAACAACCCCAAGTTTATTATTTCAAATTTTTTCATCATGAAAGACTTAAGTTCAGCAATAAGTGATTCATAAGAGTCCATATAAATCATATCATCTACATAAAGGCACACCACCAAGAAATCAGTTTTACCTTGCTTCTTTACATAGAGAGCTGGCTCATTTTTGCTTCTTTCAAATCATTCTCCTGGAAATAAGAGTCGATTTTGCTATACCATGCTCGCGGCGCTTGCTTTAGGCCATATAAAGCTTTCTTCAACCTGTACACTTTACTTTCATGTCCAGTTACAATAAAACCTTCAGGTGAGCAACATAAACTTCTTCTTCTAATTCTCCATTTAAGAAGGCAGACTTGACATCAAATTGGTAAACTGGCCAAGAGAGTTGAGCAGCAAGAGCTAAGAGAGTTCTCACCGTTTCAAAGCGTGCTACGGGGGAGAATGTTTCATCAAAATCAACTCCTTGCTGCTGTGCATATCCTTTTGCAACTAGCCGAGCTTTGTGCTTCTGAATAGTTTCATCAGCATGGTACTTCGTGCGATACACCCATTTCAGGCCAATAAGATTCTTTCCCTCTGGTAAGTTAACCAACTCCCACGTTTTATTCTTTTCGACAACATTCATCTCTTCCACTATTGCTTGTTGCCACTCTTCTTTTTCAGTTGCTTCTCCATAGTGTATAGGATCTGAAACAATAAAAGCAAATTGACAAGTATAAATGTCATTAGAATATCTGAAATTTGGTCTTTTGTCCCTCCTTGATCTTCTTGGAGGGATTGGATCTGCTGGAATTAGCTCTTCTGAAAACTCTCCAAGTGTTTCAGATGTTACTGGTGCTGAAGGTTCATCTACAAGTGTTTCAGGTGCATTTTCAAGAACCACAGAATTTGCAGGTGTTGTAGTATTGCTAACATTCCAAGCCCAAATTTCTGCCTCGTTGAACCTAACATCCCTGCTTATAACAACTTTGCCACTCATCGGGTTATACAGCTTATATGCTTTGGATTGAGGACTATAACCCACAAAAATGTATTTTTCTGATTTCACATCAAGTTTGCGACGAGATGGAGAAGTATCCAAAGCATATGCTAAACAACCAAAAACTTTTAGATGGCTTACCCGTGGCTTCCTGCCCTTCCAAGCTTCATATGGGGTTCGATTCATGACTGCCTTCGTCGGTGAGATATTAAGAATATACACTGTTATTGCTATTGCTTCTGCCCAAAACTTCTTTGGAAGTTCTGTTGCTTTCATCATGCTTCGGGCCATTTCCACCATCGTTCGATTTTTCCGCTCGGTCACTCCATTTTTCTCTCGTGTGCATGGTGCAGTCAATTCCCTATAAATACCATTTTTCTCACAACCTCTATTTGAATGAAGAGCCTTTATAGAACACCCACTTTTCTTCTCTACAAATGCCTTGAATTTTCTGAAATTCTCAAAAGTTTCAGATTTGAATTTCAAGAAATAAACCCAACTCATTCGACTATAATCATCAGTGAACAACAAAAAATATTGACTTCCACCTAAGGATTCAATACTTATTGGACCACAAACATCATCGTGCACCAATTCAAGACAACTGGAAGCCCTCCAAGCCTTGTTTACAGGAAATGAGTTTCTACTTTGCTTACCGTAGACACACCCTTCACAAAAATCAAGACCATCAATTTTAGGCAACCCAACAATCATATTTTTTTGACCCAACAATTTCAGCCCTTTAACATTCAGATGGCCATACCGTAAATGCCATAAATTAGCGCCACTAACTTTAGCAACTAAAGCACAATTCTTCACACCAGATATATCTAAAGGAAACAGTTTATTTTGTGTCATAGAAATGTTGATAATATTTTGCCTTGAGTTCTTATCATAAACAGTGCAACAACCATCATCAAACAGAAGAGAGTAACCACCACTCATCAATTGGCCAACACTTAACAGATTATGGGCTAAATTAGGAACATATTGCACATCATGTAGAAGCTTTACATTACCATGTGTGATTTTGATGGCAATTGTACCTTTCCCTTCAACCTTCATCGACTTGTTGTCTCCAAGTCGGACCTCACCTTTTTGGGACTCATCAAGTTCTTTAAACAGTGACCTCATTCCAGACAAATGGTTTGAGGCACCACTGTCCATGAACCACACTCCATTAAGTTCATCATTAATAGGAGATTGGGTCATGAATAACTTACTCCCCTCTTCAACTTCCTCTGTGATATTTGCTTGCTTTTACTCTGTGAATTTTGCTTGCTTTTCTTCATCCCTCTGCTTGGTCCAGCAATTAGCTTTTATGTGGCCCAACTTCTTACAATATCGACATTGAATGTTGTTTCTGTTTTGATGCTGATCGCCAAATTGACCTCTTCCTTTGCCGCTGCCACGACCTCGACCACGATAGCCACCTCTTCCTCTGCCTCGGCCACAAAAAAATTCTGATTTCACCTTGTAAAGAGGCTCCCCCTTCACCTGAAAAGCTTTCTCGTCCACCTTTTCATAGGACCTACTGATTCGAACTTCATGGGCTAACAATGAACTCATTAGTTCATCAAAACTGTAAGTAGATAGGTCCTTAAATTCTTCTATTGCAGCAACAACATGGTCAAAACTTTTTGTTAAACTTCTCAACACTTCACTTACAACAATTTCATTGTTAATACTTTCACCATAGGTTTTCATATGATTAACAATTCCAGAAACTCTAGACATAAATTCTTGCACAGACTCTTTGTCTTTCATGGCTAAAGTTTCAAATTCACGATGAAGTATTTGTAATTTCACAGTAATTACCTTCTTGTTGCCCAAATATTCTTGCTTTAGAGTCTCCCATGCTTGATTGGAGGTTGTTGATGTTGCAATTCGGGGAAAATTTTCATCATCCAGTGCCGATTGGATGAAAAATAGTGCTCTTGCATCTTTCTTGCGAGTCTCCCGTAGCTGTTGGTCGGGTTGAGCCGGTGCCGGATTTGGCTCAACATACTCATTCTCCACCAAATCCCATAGCTCCTGGGACTTGAACATTGTCTTCATTTTGAGACTCCAAAGATGATATTTTTTTCCCTTTAAATATTGGAATCAGGGGTTGAGATGAAGAATTTGTGCCGTTGCTTGCCATAGGTTCCTCTAAATTTTGTGCTCCTTACTTTTTTTCTCTTAGGCTTCACCTCAAACTTTTTATTTGATTGTGGCTGTCTCTCAATGAACCTGGCTCTGATACCAAAAATATTGTTGGGAATTTAAAACACAAAGAAGGGAAGTTGAGAGAGTATTTTGAAGTCTGTCAAATTGCATAAGAAAAGCTACAATAGAGGCCTTTTAAATAGGCTTACAACCAACTGACTTAAGCTAAAAATAAGCAACTAATAAATAAATTGGATAAAATGCTCCCACTACTTCTACTATTATCATCCAACTAAAGGATCATGCAAATTAACTGAACAAGTACTAACTTTATAGATGCTAAAAACTAGGAACTAAATAAGCTGTCACTTTGAAGCATTAATCAACATAAAATACATGATTAAAAAACAAAAATATTTTTCTTCAACTTTGCAATATAGATGAGCTATCATTTTATAACACTTTGAATAGTTTTAAAAAATTTATAACGTAAGGTTTAAAATTACTTGAATTACATTTGTTAAAAGAAAAAAAAATACAATTTGCTTAAACTACCGAAACAACATATGTAAGCTTTTCCTTGGAACTCATTTTATTTTTAAAAAACACATAGTCAAGCAAATCAAACGAAGAGTATTTCTTACCCCTTCAACGCACAACTAAAAAGACTACTAAAGAAATACAAAAGGAGAACTATTTTCCTAATTAATTAGAACGGAGTTAACTTCAATGAGGAGTAAATACTATTCAATGATGAGGTACTTAGCATTTAGAGTTGGTGTTGTGAGTCTCAGATGTCATAATGTCTATTTAATATTGCTGCCAGATTTAAGTAACAAGAAGTTCTTTCATAAACATAATACTAATAATAATAATTATGTTATAAAATAAAAGCAACTTAGTAAAACATGAACAAGACATGTTGTTATGAAATAAAAGCAATTTAGTAAAACATGAACAAGAAATGGAGATAGAGAGAAGGAAGAGATTTTCTTCTTCAATTGTGTGTATTTTTCTATCTATTACAAGATCTCTTTATAGGCATGAAAAGTGAAGAAAAATATGTCATTAAGCATAGAAATATGTCATTGAATATGTCATTAAGCATTTGAGAAGATCATGGAGGAAGAGTAGACATCCACCATAATTTGATTTTTCTTATAACACTCCCCCTTGGATGTCCATAGATAATGTGCCTCGTTAAAACCTTATTAGGAAAAAACCCTATGGGAAAAAAATCCTAGTGAAGGAAAAAGAGTACACATGTTTAGAAATACGCCTTTTGGTTGCCTCGTTAAAAACCTTGCAAGGAAAACCCAGTGGGACAAAACCTTGTAAGNAAAAAAAAATTCTAGTGAAGGAAAAAGAGTACACATATTTAGAAATACGCCTTTTGGTTGCCTCGTTAAAATCCTTGCAAGAAAAACCCAGTGGGACAAAATTTTGTAAGGAAAAAAGAGTACAACGCGTATTAACTCCCCATGATGAGAGCATCAATTTATATCCTTGAGCCTTCGCATCCCAATCTTGTACACTAGTTTCTTGAAGGTTGACGTCGGTAGAAATTTGGTGAACAAATCAACCATATTATCACTTGAATGGATCTGTTTCACATTGATATCACCATTCTTTTGAAGATCATGTGTGAAAAATAACTTTGGTGAAATGTGCTTTGTCCTATCCCCTTTTATGAATCCTCCCTTCAACTGGGCTATGCATGCTGCATTGTCTTCATACAAAATTGTGGGTAGTTTGTTACATTTCAAACCACATTTGTCTCGAATAAGGTGTATTATAGACCTCAACCATACATATTCTCGACTTGTTTCATGAATAGCAATTATCTCAGCATGATTAGATGAAGTAGCCACAATTTATTGCTTAGTCGATCGCCAAGATATGGTAGTGCCTCCATATATAAACACATAGCATGTTTGAGATCGAACATTTTATGGGTCATATAAATACCCAGTATCGGCATAACCAAACAAGATCAGGACTGCAATTATTGCCATAAAATAATCCCATACCGGTAGTCCCTTTTAGATACTGCAATATGTGTTTGATTCCATTCCAATGTCTCCTTGTAGGAGCAGAGCTATATCTTGTTAAGACATTAACTGAAAAAGTTATGTCAGACCTTGTAATATTAGAAAGATACATTAGTGCACCAATTGCACTAAGATATGGTACGTCGGGACCAAGAAGCTCTTCATTATTTTCATGAGGTCGGAATGGATGTGCTTTATCCATATAAAATCGCTTTAAAATCATTTTAGTATATGTTGATTGATGGACAAAAATTCCATCTTTCATATACTCAATTTGTAGACCAAGACAAAATTTTATCTTTCCAAAATCTTTCATTTCAAATTCTTTCTTTAAATAGTCTACTACTTTAGGAAGCTCTACTGCTTTAGGAAGCTCCTCAGGAGTTCCAATAATATTTAAATCATCAACATACACGGCGATTATAACAAATTTAGATCCAGATCTTTTTATAAAGACACAAGGACAAACTGAATCATTCTTGTACCCTTCTTTCAACAGGTACTCACTCAGGCGATTATACCACATGCGCCCTGATTGTTTCAATCTGTATAAGAATTTTTGAAGCTTTATTTAATAAATTTTTTGGAAACCTTAATATGCTTCAGAACAATTTAAACCCTTCAATGATTTTCATTATACACATATCACGGTTTTCTTGTATTGCCAGATTAAAACCTGAAATGGCGACATCCACCACAGGAAAATATGTCTCTATATAATCAATGCCAGGATATTTACAAATCTTCTTGTGACACAAGTCGTCTTTATGTCTATCGACTTGACCCTTTATTTTTCGCATAAGAACACATTTATACCTTCACTGGCTTTATACTATCAGGTGTTGGGACTATCCGTCCAACTTCATATTTTTCATGTGAAATTAATTTTTATTGCGTATTTTTAATTTGGCCAATTATTTATCTGTCCAAATTTCATGACAGATTTGAGCTCAAGATCCTTGTCAATATAAATAATATTGAGCATTACATTAAATTAACAATATCGTCGACGATCATTTTATATCGGTGAGATCTCTTTATCTTATTATTTTCAGGTACCTGAGCCTCTCCCATGAGGTTTTATGAAGTATTATGTCGTGGTGCTCTTCTAGAGCACTTGCCTCTTTATTATGACCATCTTGAACATTTGCTCCTCTCATTCTTTAAGGATTTTTAGCTTTGGAACCGAATAGTCTATTATGCTTTATGCATGCCATGGACTCTATTCATTATGAACTTTATTTTATTTGGAGCATTAGCAGCTGAATATGACATTTAGCTTTGGGTCAACAAATACACCTGGCAATATTTTGCAAATGAATTATCACTTGAACTTCAAGTTCACATTTTCTCGCACGAGGATCTCGATGTACTCATAATAATTCATTACATGCATTATTTTTTTTCAGCTGCCCATTTTTTCCCCTATTATTGGGATCACCAACACATATCCCTAGTCTTATTTGAGGATTAATCTTTGTGCATTGTGGTGGAACAATTAAATCATATAGCACATTCATATTTCTAGATGGAAATTATTTGGTTCCTCACCCTGAACCGATTGTAATAGGGAGAACTTATCATAACTTGGCTAGATGCGTACAAGTGCTGTTGTATATTAAATAATACATCACATGACAAATTTTATTTTGGCAATTTTGTTTTCATAACCAATGGTTTAGATCTAATTGGAGGCATACAATTTCTGCTAAACCAACTTGGATTTAAACCAGTATTATCAAGATAAATCATCATAATTTATATTCTGGAACTGTGTTCTAATAATTTGAGCAATCAATCTTGCAAAAGCCAAACTACAAGTTGATAACAAATGCACATGTGACCATAGAATAGATGCATCTATTAAAATCATATAATAGTAAACGGTCCACATAGAAGGTGACTGGACCCATATAATCACCTTTTATTCGTTCCAGAAATCAAGGGATTTAATCCCAACCTTAACTGGTATATCATGAAAATAAGCAGCACTAGAGAATTCTTGAAGAATCTTATATTTCTTCAATATATGCCAATGTAATTCTCAATTTATTTATTTTTTCGCATCATAATTGAACCGAGATGATCAACCGGTCATGCCAACTAATATTTATTTAAGTAAACCTCTAGTTTACTTGTGGCTTGTGAATGCATCATCATGCTTATACTTGTGTAATACAAATAGAAGAAAAGTCAGGTAACCTTTCATATTTACCCAGTATGATAATAGTAATATAAAGATATTCAATCTTCTTTTCATTTATAGTCTCAATATGCCAACCACTTTGGCTAATATATTTGTAAATCAAAATATTTCTTTTGAGACTTATTACAATATTAATGTCATGAACAATTTTATTCATCCGGATAGTAACAAATTAGTTCTTTCAGAGCTCTTAACTGCTTTTGTACTACAAGATCTTTTGTCACACCATCCATATAATGAATGTCTCCTTCACAAAGAGAATCATATCATAATAATTGTCATGTTCAAAATCATCACAAGCAAAATAATTTTTTGCTTTAATTTTGCTTTTAATAACTTTCATAAGACATGATAAAATATTTTTGGCGCATCACATGCATGCGACCAATGATATATTCATGTAACTACACAATAAT